CCTTATTTTTTCGAATTAAATCAAATTTTTTTAAACTTTAATCAGTGTTATATAATTATGCTTAACTTATTCTTAATATTTATTTTTAATTCTATGCAACTAGACTCTAATTGATACGCATGAGTTATCATTCGAAACATTAAATGTAGTCGCGATTCGTTTCGATCAAAATAAATAAAAATCGTATGCTTCGATGAGAATGTGTGAAGATAAAAAAATAAAAAACAAAAAAAAATTAAAAAAAAAAAAATACGAGGAGTTTTTTTCAGTAATTTATTGTAAATCTAATTAATATGGAATGAAATTTCGTATTCTGCAAACGAACGATAAATTCAGCAATTGCAAGACAACAATTCAGTTTTTATGCAAATGAATAAGTTAAATATAAATGTATAATAAATTTATTTTCATAAATCATAGAATAATGGAAAATTTCTTAACAAATAATACACGATGCGATGATTTCACAATAGGATTTCTTTTGAAGTTCTCTTGTAAAGTTTTATTTTACAGAAATATTAAATTTTAAACATCTGCTAAGAAAAAAAATGTGTTTTTTTTTTTATTTTCCCCGCTGTTATAACACGGGAAAGTATTGTAATCGTACCAAATTTTTACTTTCCTGACTGTTGTAACGTAGTACTGTAATCATGTCAAATTTGACCCAGACCACCTGTGTGGCTAAGCGGTTCCATTCCCTGAAAGCTGGAAGTTCTGTCATGGGTTCGCACTTCGCCAAGATGGTCTGGCCACATGGAGTTTTCTGGGTTTTCTCCACGTCTGTAACGCCTGAATAGGGGCCAGTTGCCTTTAAAAAGGCCGGATGGCCGAGTGGTCAAGGTGGCAGCCTACCGCTTTGGGGGACCCGGGATCGAATCCGGACGGGTCAAGGAATCCCCAGGAATTTTTCGGGGATGGTCCGTTCGGATATGTCGGGCCCCGTCCCTCACCACCCGGCCGCCCCATTGTGGGCCTGGCCGAACCCATAATAGGCCTGCTATAAGATGCCCTCTTAGTGCCCACAGGGCGGAAAGAGTAAAAAAAAAAGTTACCTTTAAAATGACACTTCCCAGAAGGCATTCCCCCTAGGAAGATCGCCCAAGTGTTCCCTTTTTTTTTTTTTTTTTTTTTGCAAATCTCATCGTTTTCAGACTCACTAAATCCAAAAAAAAGTTTTAAAAGCGCGTGTTTGCGTCTATTTTGTTTAATATCTCAGAATGGGGTAAAGATAAAAACGAAATTTTGCATGGTAACTATCAAATGCTATTAAATTTTGGAGTACTGAAATCAATAGGGGGTGGTGTGTCATATCTCGAGTAGAGTCGGACTTAACGAAAATTTTGCTCGTTATTGGCGTTTACAATATTTTAAAAAACACATTTTTATGCTCAAAATTAAGGCTTTTTTTTTGTCTTTTTATGATATTAAAAAACTTTTATATTATTAATTTATTTAACTACTTATAGCAGATAGTGCTAAACACAATTTAACTTCTAGCTTGTGTTTATTTAAGAAGTGTTTAGTATTCAAGTAATGTCCTTTTTAAATGGAGATTTTGATCATAATTCAACCTTTCTAAACTTTCCTTATTATTTAAATTTTATAACTTACTATAATTAAAAATTATCAGCCTTCCTAATGGTTCCCTTAACTTCCTGTTCGAGTGTGGGGAAAGTCGAGCAAGAGCTCTTGTTATCTTTTTTTCTAAAGAGTGCAACAAAAACTTTATATCCTCACCAATGTAACTCTTCTGTTATTCTGTAGTTTAGTTTCTGTTTAACGTATTTTATGGCATATAAGCCGTACCCCAATTTTAGCACGGAGTATTTTACGGAACACGGAGAAAAAAGTATTTAAGCCTTCCCCCACTTTTGGCACTCGGTCCCAAAAGCTATATGATGTTATGATGTATTCTGATTTTTAGTTCCTCCTCGTGGGCATTAAGATGGCCATTTTTAGCAAGCCCATTATGGGTTAACCAAACTCACAATGGAGCGGCCTGATTGTGAGGGGAGGGGCCCGACATATCCTGACGGACCATTCTCGAAAAATTTCTTGAGCTTTCCGATCCATCCATTTGTTTATCCAGGGGTGCTGCAGCACCATAAGCATCACCCCTGAATATACCGCTGGTTTATGTATAAAATATTTGTATTTGCATTTTGAAATTATTTTGTAGTTTATCTTACTATGCAGTTTTTCATCCGTAAACATTCTCATATTTATACCGGAGTTAGTTTCAAAATGTGTATTTATTTCCTGATTTTATTCAGAATAGCGCAAAAGTAGATACTACTTCAATATAAAACATCAGAAAACATAACATTCAACGATTAATTAATTAATGCAAGGTGCCAGTAAATTTAGACAGGCTTATGCGCTCATCACGGCCGGACACAACCCTCAACGGGGTCGGATCACGAGCGCAGGGGCGGCCCTAGGGCGGTGCGACCGCATCGGGCGTTGTCATAGCGGGGGCGCCGAAAATGCAACGATGGATCGTCTGCGAAAAAAACTAATAAAACCCGATCACCTTATTACTACTTAACCCTACCCGGCAGGCCGGATGGCCGAGCGATCAAGGTGGCCTATCACTCTGGTGAACCCGGGTTCGAACCGAACGGGTCGAAAAATCCCCAGGAATTTTTCGGGGGATGGTCCGTTCGGATATGTCGGGCCCCGTCCCTCACCACCCGGCAGCCCCATTGTGGGCCTAGCCGAACCCATAATGGGCTTGCAAAAAGAGGCCTCTTAGTGCCCACAGGGCGGAAAGAGTTAAAAAAAACCCTACCCGCCAAAATAAATACTAAGATTAAAGAAACCAATATTTATACATTTATTTCCTTATTTCCATTTGTTCTCCGTTTTTCTAGAACTTTTTAATTTCCTTTCTTCCCTTTGGGTGGAACCACCAATCCCAAGAACATAAGACTATGGGAGTATTAAGGCCTCATGGGCCGATAAGACAAAAAAATGGGTTAGTCTTGACTGGAGCTTCGTGGGCGTAAGACGTGAAGAGAAAAGCGCTCCAGATCGCAAGTAGGCGACTAGGGGCTACTTGAGACCGAAAAATTCCGAAGGAAGGACATTTTGGTTACGTTAAAAAAAATAGAAAACTCTAGAGTCAACGTTGGACGAAAGTCCCGATTTTAAAGAAAGGGAAGAAAAATCACGACTGGTGTATCTACAGAATCCGAGGTGGTGCCCATCCAGTGTTCACGAAATAAAGAGAATCCCGGGTATTTTGATCTTTCCCTTTTTCTATCTACCTTCTCATATAATCTTTTACCCTCTTTGGTTATAAGTTAGTGAGTAAGAATTAGTTCTAAGTTTCTGTACGCGTACTATTGTCGCGAAATTATTGTACTGTATATTAAATGTCCGACTTCTTTTGAATACTATAATATTCATGGAATGGGATCTAATAAGAACCTGGTTCACGAGCGACGAATAAAATACTTTGTGATTTAAGAACCTTGCTAAGTATTTTTTGTGTTAGTCTATTCGGTAGTCCTTACACCTGTTGCTCTCGAATATCACATTAGCATTAATTAAAATTGCGTTCAATTGACATTTAAACGGAATTAGGCTGTGTTATGCAAGTCTCCCTAAATCGCAACTTGAAAACCAGCTTTTCAATACATTTTGGTCGAGTATGTATTGTATTTGTTGCTCCCTTAGTAAAAGTTTCCGAGTGACAGTATTTTTGGATGTAGAATTGATTTTAGATAATTACAGTTTACCTTAGTATCGCAAATATTAGAGATGCCACGAATATTCGGCTACTATTCGGTATTCGGCCCATTCGGCCTACTTTTTTTAATATTCGGTATTCGGCCGAATGTTACATACTATTCGGCCGAATACCCAATACCAAATCATGAAGAAGAAAACGCATATATTACTCAAAAACGTATTTATGTTAATCACAAATTATTACATTTAATACTTAAAATCTATCAGTGGTAAGTTGTGATGAATGAAAACAATTTTTTCAGCATTTGTTGATAGCAAACGGTTGCACTTTTCCTCATAAACTATACCTGCTTCTGAAAATAGCCTCTCACTATATACACTACTGCCGGGAGACGATAAATAAATCTTAGCGAATTCTGTCAGGCTTGGATACTGTTTTGCGTTTGCTGACCACCACTTATAAAGGTCTGCGTTCGATCTAGGCGAACAGTTTTCATATAAAGTGATACAAACAGTGATATTTTTTAGTAATAAGGACTATTAGTAACACAGTTTGATGTAACAATGAACAAATAATGCATTTCGTGACACGATCTACTCGCAAATAAAACAAATGCGCCCGCGATGTCGCTACCGCACTCACCGCAATGAGATAGGTCGTAACCTGTTACCCGCGAAACGTACACATATTTTGCCGAACATTCGGCGCTTCGGCCGAGAGCGTAGCCGAATATTCGGTATTCGGCAAAATCACTATTCGTGGCATCACTAGTAAATATTTACAAAGTACAGGTATAATGTTTCCTTTACAGACAAAACATGTCGCTACCTCCAAAAAAAAAAAACTATCTGGCGCACAAAACTTAAAAAAAAAAAAGAAAAAAGAAAAAAGCAAGGCTAAAGTGAAAAGTCTGCAAAATTGCTAGCAAAATTTTTGAGAGTAGAAAAGTCATCCGAATCGTCATCATCAGAACTAGTTCAACACGCGACGGAATAAGACCTATTTAATAAAAGTTTCTTCAGACGAAGCCCGTGAAGATGAACAGCAGCATGCACAAGAAGATTTAGCTATTTCTGGAATGTCATATGCAGTTCAAAATAATACAGAAGAGGTTATACCAGACATAGCATCACCGTCACCTCAAAATATAGATTATGATATTTCAAACTGGTCGCTCGTTGACCCTGTAACCAGAGATGAAATAATTATTCGAGGTCCTGTAACGAAATGAACAACGAAAAATATCCAAGAAAAAATGATGGACGTCATTTTTCAAATACGCATTTTCAAAGGGTAATGCCAAATGGAGAAACTTATAAAAGAAGATGGCTCGTTTACTCTGTCTACAGATAAAGTATATTGTTTTTGCTGCTGTTTATTCAACAGAAGTTTCCACTCTAATTTAGGAAAAGAAGGAGTTGATGACTGGAGATACTTATTAGTGCGTCCCAAAACTCACGAAACTTCCTCAGATCATCAGCACGCCATGCACAGTTGGATGGAAGCGTCGAATCGATTAAAGCACTTCAGTTGCATTGACAAGCATTTGCAAAAACAGATTGAAGACGAGAAATCGCGGTGGGTTTCTATCCTCGAACGAATGATGTCCATAGTATTCTTTTTAGCAGGCAATAATTTGTCGTTCAGAGGAAGCTCTGGATGCGAAGCACTATATACTCCTAATAATGGTAACTTTCTGGGTTTAGTGCAACTGCTAGGAAAATTTGATTCTGTGATGATGGAGCACCTCCGCCGTATTGTTAATAAAGAGACTTATGTCCACTATTTTGGCAAACATATTCAAAACGAGTTGATCGGCTTACTTGGAAGTGAAGTTCAAAATAAAAATTTGAATAGGGTAAAGTCATCATACTTTTCCATCATATTGGATTGCACTCCTGATGTCAGTCGCGTTGAACAGTTATCTTTAACTTTGCGTTTTGTTGACACTAATGAAAGTAAAGTCCAAGTGCGTGAGTGTTTCGTTGCTTACAAGCCCGTAAGTGACTCTTCGGGAGCTGGACTCACTGGCCTCTTTCTTGATATATTGTGCAAGAGTTTGAGTTCGATATGAACGATTGTCGAGGTAAGGATATGATAATGGATCGAATATAGTAGGAGTAAACAAAGGTGTCCAAAGCAAAATCCTGAACCATGGTCAGAACCAAATCTGAACCACTATCCACGAGCATTTTTTAATCCATGTGGCTGTCATTGATTAAATTTGGTAATAGGAGATGCCGCAAAAACATCTATTAAATCAGTTTCTTTGTTCGGATTTCTTCAAAGACTGTTTGTTCTATTCTCTGCGTCAATAAAGCGATGGGAAGTGATATCCAAGCACATAGAACGACTATCGCTGAAAAATGTTTGTGAAACTCGTTGGGAGAGTATAGTTTCTAGCCTCGCTGCAGTTCGTTATCACTACTCTTCAGTTCGTGACGCTCTTCTGGATCTTCACGAAGAAACGAATGACCCAGTCGCAGCATCAGAGGCCTTGTCCCTGATTTAGGAGCAATTTGAGTTTATAGTAACAATAGTGGCTTGGTATGATATATTGTTTCAAGTAAACATTGTAAGCAAGGCTGTGCAGTCTGAAACTATGGATTTACTAAACGCTATACAATTGCTGAGAACTGCTATGAATTTGTAAAAGAGTACCGGCGTTATTCGTCTGATAATAACAGCTAGGAAAATTGCTTTTCAGGCTGGGATAGATCTTATTTTTAAGTCAGTCCGATCCCGAAGAAAGAAGAGATTATTTAAATACGAAACCGTAGATGAGACACCAACAAATCCTGAAGAATTGTTTAAAATAAACGTCTTTTACCCTATGATCGATACAATTGAGAATGCGTTGGTCACTCGATTTACACAACTATCCAAATTTAATGATACATGGCCCTTTTTACACAACATCAAAATAATTCATGAAAAGTCAAAATTGAAAAAAGCTTGTGCAAATTTAGAAATAAGTTTAACCGATGGAGAAAAATGTGACATATCTGGTTGTGAATTGGTTGAGGAACTTTTACACCTGAATCCATTGTTGAAAGAGCTTGAATCATCAGAACCAGTAAAAGTTCTTCAACTTATTAAACAAAATGATTGACAGGATATATTCCCAAATGTGTGGACAGCACTTCGAATTTTGCTGACCATATCCGTAACTGTCGCTAAAGGAGAACGAAGTTTCAGTAAATTAAAACTTATTTACGTTCAACCATGTGTCAGGACAGACTGTCAGATCTAGCAATTTTATCTATCGAAAATAGTATTGTCCAGGAATTAAATTATTCTGAATTAATAACAACATTTGCAAGCGCAAAAGCGTGAAAGGTGGCAATGTAGGCTTTATTTTATTTTATTTTTTAATTTGTTTCAATTTCAAATTAATTTACGATATAAATTTGTCTTTTGCGTGATATGAGCGTTGTCTGTGCCATAGCAGTTTAAGTAAATGTTGTTATGAATATTGCCTTGTGAAAGAAATATTGTTTTTTTTCACTGTTATTGTTCCTCATTCATACTAGTACTATGCTATAAATTTTACACAAGAGTGAGCTGGGTTGTGAGAATATAAACCATGATCCTGAAATGTGTGCTATATCTCCATAACTTAAAATTAAGAGATTCCGTCGACGGAGGGGAGGGAAAAAAACGTCAACAAGTTGCGATATGTCTGAATTTACAAGGGTCAAGTTAAAATATTCAATTAATAGAACGGTAACAAATAAATAAATACTAAAATTTCAGAATATGTCAGAAAATAAATGCTATATGCATAAATCTGCATACGCTTATAAAATATCCTTCGCGCACAATTTATTAAGCGAAAACTGACTAAAGATGGCGGCCAGTCGAGGAGTATAATTAATTGCGAAATAGTAAAATATTTCGATATTGGAATATTAAAACTTGGCAAAAAATAAACAATTCCGATTTTAATCCCGATAAAACATTCAAATTTCAAAAAATTGTTCCAAAAAAAAAAAAAACAGAATAAACTAATTTCGTATCGTAATCACCGAACAGCTACGAATAAATACAATATTAATTTAGTACATAAATAATACAGGACGAATTAATTAATTAATATTAATAATAATATTATTATTATTATTAATATTTTTTTAAAAAATAATAAATTACATAATTATTAGTCACCGCGTGGAATTCGGTGTCATCCCTACGAGAGTAGACGTTGCGTTCCATGCACTGTTGTGATCAATGGCAGTTAATATGGCGGCCTCAGGGCAGTCGAGTAAACATTTGATATCGGAAACAAGGAAATGTTAAATTATCGAAGTAAAAAAACTTAAGAATACGTATTAAAATGTTACGGTATCAAGATATCGGTTATTGCCGTTTCGTTTCCTGATTTTTATCCGCCATCGCGCCAAATGGCCATTAACTCCTATGACGTGAAGTCATATTTAGGTTTTTAAAGTCGGTAAAGGATTAAGATTGCGCCCGAATTCATAATGCTTACGGTAAAAAGTAGTCGTCACTTTGTCGGTAAGTACGTCTGACCTTTATTAATTACTCGAATTTATTATTATTTATTTATTATTATTATGGCGAAGAAAAAAAAAAAAACATTAGCCTAGTTAGGTTATACGAGATGATGATGATGATGATTGTAAACAAATATTTCCATTATTTATATCGAGCAATTACGCTTTAATACAGAGAAGTGTGATGTTTAAGTCGAATGTTAAGTGTCTGTTAATTTATATTTTCTATATATTTAATGTAATTGGTATTTTGTGTAAGTTCTTTAACGTTATATTAATTTTTTTCCTTCTAATTCGATTAAATCTTCAACATTCGTGCTTTAAAACATTATATGTCAATATCCAGCGTTAAACAATAATAAGCTCGACTTTATACACATTTTTATTATATTTAATATGCTTTTTAAATGTACATTTACTTGTTTTTTGCTTATAATTTGATTAAATTATTCATATTTGTATTTTAAAATGTTTTGTGTGTTGATATCCGGTATTAAACAATAATAAGCTCGACTTTATATACATTTGTCATATTTAATAAGCTTTTTAAACCTTAATTCACTTTGTTTTTTGCTTCTGATTCGATTAAATTGTTCAGATTTGTGCTTTAAAACATATTCGTGGATATCCGGCATTAAACAATAATAAACTTGTCTTTGCAATGAAAATATTCAAAAACTGGATGTATTAACTAAAATTAATATAAAAAAACCTTAAATCCGGTAAAAATAACGTGTTTATTATCGGAACCGATGTGTTCAACCGCGTACGATGGCCGTCTTCGGGTTGTAAAATGGAATTAATGAAGAACACTGTCGTCGTAAGTGGCCAAAATGTTGTTCCCATAATAAACATTCTATTTTACTAAATTTAAGGTTTTTTTGATGTTAAACTCAATTTTATATACATTTAATCCGTAGTTTTTTTAACATGTATTCACTTGTTTTTGCTTCTAATTCAGTTAAATTATTAAGATTCGTGTTTTTAAAGCATCGTAATAGCTTATTATAGATTATTAATGAAAAAAATTAATATATCTGTGTTTGTATCGTGGACTACTTTCATGAAATACATTTTAAAATTAATTGGGTTAAATTACATACATTTATTTATTTTTAATTGAAATGATTCTTTATATTGTTTGAAATGCAAGAATATATGTGAAGATATTATAGTTCAATTTAGTAAATGCTTTTTTTGGAATGTGTTTCTTCTTTGCAGTATAACTTGTGACAGAGTGGCTCAAAATAGTAGGCCTATTAATGTGAATGCAAAACTTTTCAGGGGGAGTATAAACTAGTTATATCTTTAAAGCAGATTTAAAAATTCTTAGTCGAATAAATTGATTGAATTGTGCGTGCTTTATTTATTGTAAAATATTTAGCCACTAAGTAATTTAGGTTGTGATAACAAAAAAAAAAAAAAAAAAAAAAAAAAAAAAAAANTATATTATTGGAAATGTAATTTAAGAAGCTGTTATTAAAACATCTATCTTCAAAGTAATGTAGTTCTATTTTAATTTAAGTTTATATGTATTATATTTAAAAGAATGGATCTCATTTTATTAAATGTTTTTGGTATTTTTGCTGAACTTTTCTACATTAAAACAGTATTATAGTAGAGATTATTATTAATTTGTAAAGTTTATAAACTATTAAAATGTTACAGTAATATATTTATATTTGAAGAAATATATTTGAAATAACTTAAAATGTTAGCAGACTGCATACAGTATTTTGTCTTATTTATATTTTATACATGTTATGATAAATATTTACATTTCATATTTACAAATTAAAGGAAGAAAACAGTTTAAAAAAGCCAAAAATTATAAACATATTTAATCAGTTTTATGCAAATTAAAAAAATAACTGGTTTTTTATCATATTAAAACTGTTAACTGATATTATTAACAAATAAATAACATCCAAAAGTATAAATTATATAAATATATGTATCTAATGAAAGAAAATTAAAACATTGACAGAAAATATATGCATATATTGTTAACATTAACTGTGCTCAGATTTAATTACATTAGAAGATAGAATAAATTTTTTTTTTAAACTAGATGATTAGTGTGTTCAACATGTTATTGAACAGTATAGGTTCATACAGTGCTAAACATATCTTTTTCTGTATGAATTGTCTTTTTTTAGACAGGCATATGGCTTATAAAGTGATAAATCACATATGCTGTTTATAGAGTTTTATCATTATATTATTATTTTTTAAGTTTTAAATTATGTTAAAAATTAGATTCTCAAAACTTCAAAGTATTTTTCAAGTAACAAAATATTACCACCACTTGAAATACAAGAAGAAAAAACTTGTGTATCATGTAAGATTTTCATATATTACTTCTGAAATTCTTATATTATTGACAGTATATATATATATATAATGGGAGAACAAGCAGGAAATGATGCAAAAATTTGAATTACTTCATTTATAATCTCAATAGAAAACAGTAAATAAACTGTCTAATAACATATTTTGTTTTTTAATTTTTTTTAATAATTGATATGTTGCTAGAAATACTGTTTTCATCAATGCAGTATCTATCAAAAGAATTTAAAATATTGGATTTTAAATTCATGTAATAATAAATATGACATATTAAAGTGAAATATTTGATTCTGTTTAAAATGTACTTCTGTAATGCTTTGAGTACTTTCTTATCATACCAATTACTGACTAGACATAAATCTTTCTATTGATTATCTGACGAAAGAAATGGAAAAGTTAAAACTTATTTATCTTTTTGACAGTTCTTTATTACAAGAAACGTAAAAGTTTGTATTAAAGTATTTTTCTATTTCTGAGAAAGCTGTTTATCAAGTGTTAATTGAAAAACAAAATAACCTTTAAAAAAAAAGTTATCTTTTTGTCATAAACTTTCCATTTGATTAACTGAGTTTTATATTTAGTTATTTTGTAAAAGAATTATCTGTTTAAGCTATTGACCATATAATGTTTGAATTTTCTGGACACAACAAACGTAATTTTAAAATTTATATTCTACCAAACTGAGATTTGAAAATATGATACCTTGCACTCATCTTGGCATCCATTAGAGAATGATTTGCAACTGTTTTGATTTAAAACTTTGAGAAAATATTACCTACAATTAATAAATCTGAAAGTAAAATTTTAAACTATATTTTCAAATGATCCATTTTGGTTATAAAAATTGTAAGAACAAATATTTGGCTATCAGTATTTTTTACAGAAATTTATTTGTATGACTTTGGAGTGAATGTTTCTATTATTAGATTTCAGTTATATATTAAGAGATAATATTGTACTTCTTTTAAATTAGGGACCAAATATACATATCAAACTGCCAAATTTACTGGGTTAGGAAATATTTTTAGAATAATTTTGGCTTGTAAATTTATTCTAAAAATATTATATAACCCAGTAAATTTAGCAGTTTAATTTATATTTGGTCTATTGAGTTGTGTGTGAAAGTTTATTGATGTACAAATTAATAAATATATTACTTTATATTTTAAGTGAAATTCCATTTATAATTTGTAGATGTTTTATTGATTAAATTATTTAATACACACTTCTGGATAGATTATTCTCAGAAAAATTTTTAAGTCAGTTTAATAATTAACAAATTTCTTACAAATTTACAAATTGACTTATCCATTTTTAAAAGCTAGAAAATTATTTTAATGAACAGTTCATAAATTTAACTTTATACAATGAGTTTTTACACTGTATACCCATTGTCAAAGTTAACTAGAAAATCCTTGATGGTAGACATAATTTGGAGTTTTTTAAAATAGTTTTTACTTCAAGAAAAAGAAGTTTGAATTGAATTTGGTTAAGGAAATAAGTATATCAAACAAATTCTGTTCTAATCGATTTGTAGTTGATTCAAATTTTGTTTTGGACCTTTTTGGATAAAGTAATAAGTGAAAAAGAATTCAAAGGGCAAATGTGAGACACATGGAGCATGCAAATTCACATAGGTACCAAGAAGAAAAGTCACTGCAGAAAGATGGCTTTTTTCATTGTTTATTTATATTTTGATGCATTAAACAGTTGCAAATAAATATTTCTGCAAAATTTATGCTTATTGCTAAAGGAACTGTCAGAAGAAGAAGTAGCAATTAAACAAATATTTTTAAATCACATGTTTTTTGTAGGAATTTAAAATAATTTTAATTAACCAGTTGAAAATTATATCAAATTTAAATTTTTGTAATCTGTGCCTATTGGAAAATAAATGAATACTGATATTGCTTGTGAATACATGTTGGTGCATTGAATTTTGTCATATATAATATATCTAAATATATAAAATTACTTGTCCTGACTGACTGACTGACTGAGTGATTGACTGAGTGACTGATTGATTCATCATCATCCAGAGCAAACTACTAAACCTAAAGAGGTGAAATTTTGTACCCAGTTAGGGTACGTCATGAAAACACACACTAAGAAGGGATTTTTGGAAATTTTCCCGTGGGGGAAAGGATTAAGGCTTAACCTGAAGAACAGCTTCTACTGTACTATTTTAGATGCAATTTTTTTTTTGTTTTCAACTACGTTTAGTTTTCATTGAGTACTTAGGAGTATTAAATTGATAACATTTCAGACATTGTTATAAATATTTTTATATATTTTGATTTTTTAACCAAATGTTCAAACCGTTTTAAATTCAAATTTGTTATTGCATATTGGTTCGATTATAGAATGATTGTAAATGTTCCAGAAAATTGATCAAATTGAAAATAGTTCGTTTGATTCGCAGCAATTCTCATCGGTAGGTGTTATATAACAATTACTATGGTTGTTGAAATATTGAATATAAATGGGGTTTGCTTGCAAACCCCCAAGGGCAAAGTTGTGGGTAACAGCTAGTATGTGTATATATTTATTCATTCATATTTTTAAATTTGTAATAAAATGGTTTTCCTATATTTTCTCATTAGGATCCTTGAATTCCAATTTGTCCCATTTCATTTATGTAGTTTGATAATA